TGATGGGCTTTGGTTCATCGTGTGACTTTCTCATCACCACCTGCATTTGGTGGTTATCAGTGTATTACAAAGCTACAAAACAGATTTCAGTACTTCAATAATGTAGGTATATTAACATTATTTCAGTTAATGAAATTACGGTATTTAACTGTAAATTTAAGTTAAAACTGTAAAACCTAAAATGTTGCTACCGTATTTTTTACGTAAAAAATCCGGCAACCACAGCTGCCGTTTTTTTACCGTAAATTTTACTGAATTTTTTTAACAGTGTTCTGCTCTAGATGATTTAGAGATCATGACCTAAAAGTGTTTTATAGTCTAGATAAACACTTTTAAGGGGTTTTGGAGGTAGTTGTGATACTGCTGTAGACCATGAGTCACTCATTGAGAACGGCACATGAGTTTATATTACATTAGCTGGACGTGTAAGTCATGAGATATGATGCTGCTGATGAGGTCTGGCAGATGTCTTCAGCCAAACACATCAGACCGCAAAGCATTTTGACACACTGCAAAAGACCTGAATGTAATTTCACAATACCACTGTGAGACTGAGATGTTACTATAATAAAGCTGATCGTAAATTAAGCTACTCTATTATGGGTTAAAATAAAACACTGATTAAAAAGGTCTACATGAAATTAAAATTCACACTATATATACTGTACTTTCTTAAAGGAATAGCTCACCGAAATATGTAAATTGTCTGAATATGTCCTCACCCTCAGGCCATCCGAGATGTAGACGAATTTGTTTCTTCATCAGAGCAGATTTGTAGAAATGTAGCATTACATCATTTGCTCAGCAATGGATGCTCTGCAGTGAATGGGTGCCGTCAGAATGAGAGTCCAAACAGCTGATAAAAACATTACAATCCACACCACACCAGTCCATCAATTAATGTCTTGAGAAGCCAAAAGCTTCATTTTAACATTGCTTCCTGCTAAAATACAAGTTCATAATCCACAATAACGCTTCCTTCAGGGAAAAGTGGTCTGGTCTGAATCAGGAGAGAAATCTGCACAGCACCGTTTACAAGCCAAAACAGCTCTAAACAAATATGTGGCTGGATTTTGATGTGAGAGACAACAGGAGGAGGACTTTTTCACTGGACGAAGAGTTATTATGGATTATGGACTCATATTTTAGCCAGAAGCAACGATTTAAAGTTAAAAACGTCTTAATGATGGATTTGTTTCTTACAAACGCGCTGCTTTTGGCTTCATAAGATGTTAACTGATGGACTGGAGTGGATTAATGTGGATTACAGAGCATCCATTGGTGAGCAAGTGATGCACTGCTACATTTCTCCAAATTTTGTGTTTTATTGCCAAAACGGCAGCTGCATTTGAAAACCATCTAATTTTCTTCTCTTCTTCATCCATCTAATATGATCTACTTTTCAAATAATAACATATCACAGAAACAGAGATGAAATAGCGTTTCAGTCTGTAATGCTGCATTTGTTCATGTGAAGCAGTAAGATGAAATTTCAAATGTCATAAAACAATCTCTTGATGACTGGAACAGGACCTGAAGGGAAACGAAACGACATTCCAGAATTGCAGCAGCTCAGTGTCACATTTCATCATATTCCACATATTATGGCCTGGCATAGAATTCTGGCATCAAGAGTGCTTTGGTCAGTATTACAATAGAAACTGCAGATTAGATCTGCTCAGACCTCTGATCATGTAGAGTTCATTAGTTCACACTCTTAAAGGAACAGTACATGCAAAAATGAATGGTCCCTGATCACCATTTATTTTTTATTTTGTGTAAAAACCCAGCATTTCCCCAAACATTTCTTTTGTGTTTCATAGCAGAAAAAAAAATATTGTTTTTAAACAATTTAAGGGTCAGTAAATGATGATATAGGACTCATTTTTGGATGAACAATCCCTGTAAAGTCAGATGGGCTTCAGTTTATTCTAGTTTTATGTTCTGTGATATGACAGAACGTAATGCAATATGCAAATATTTGAGATAAATAACTACACATAATGGCCAGTGTTGTTTTAGTATCATTGAGATACTCTTATAGTTTTTATTAATATTTAGAAGTTTTATTTTTATATTTCCATTTTAATTTTACATTACATTAATGTTACATTTTTAGTCATTTTGTTGTGTTTTTGTCATTTGTAATTAGTTTTAGGTTGTTGTTGTTTTTTAAACATGCCTATATAGTTTTGGTTTTATTTTAGTTTTAGTTTATTTAATTATTTTGTACATCAAGTTAAACTAAATGAAAAAATAAATGTTGCTTTGTCATAAAACGTTTTTTTTTCTTTCAGTTTATATTTATTCAATTTCAAGTAACGTGAATTTTTTATGGTTTTATTTTTTAATTAACTTTGATCATGAGTAATAATTAATAATGAAGAAATTAAGAAGGCTTGATAAAATGTATAAAGGTCAGTTTTCATTCATTCTCATTCATCAACACTAGCTTCTCTATTCTTTTTGTATTCTATCTATTTGTTTTCTTTTTATTTATTATACAATTAACAAAAAACAAAAAAGGCCTCTAACACTAGCTTGCTCGGTTCCTTTTATATTCTATCTGTTTTCTTTTTATTTACTATATCATTTTTTAATTTTATATTGTTAGTCTAACTGAGACTTGTCATAGCACTTGCATATCATTGCTCTTTAGTTGATTTTGATTGCTTCCATTGTCCTCATTTGTAAGTCGCTTTGGATAAACGCATCTACTAAATGACTAAATGTAAATGTAAACCTTATAGCCAATTTTCATGTGTACATGACCTTTCCTAGGTCAGAGCAGAGGTCGAAAGTCAAAGTCTTGGTGACTCTTTTAAGGAATGATTTGTCATTGATGAGTGACAGCTGCCCTCTAGTGGTGAGATCTGGAATAACGGACACTCCTTATTTCAACTACACAGGACTCTCAAAACCTTAGTGAGATGAAAGGTTTCATAAAACAGAAGTGCTTTCACTTGTCATCAGGGGGCGCTATAGTACATAAAGAAAGGCAGATTATATTAATCTGAAATACAGTAGTAGCTAATTATTTGACGTATTGTGTCTTTGCTTGTAATCTTGTGAAACTGTATGCTTATCATATTATCACATTCATATGCCATGTGTTTATATGATACTTCAAGATATCATATACCAAAGTACATGTCCTAAAAGATGATAAAAACGTGTGTTTTTATTAATGCTAATCAATGCTATAAATAGAAATGTTACAAACAAAGCCCAAATAAGAGCAATAATTCATAATTAATTAATAAAAACATTCCTTAATTTTATCTGCATATCAGATTAATATCATTAATATCTGGCCAGACTTGATGCACTATAATGCCTCCTGTTGGCTGTTCCTCAAAGAGCAGCAGTAAATGTCTTGTAGAAACCTCCTGCTGTCAACATTTGATTTTTTACCATGGTATTACCATCTGATACATCACTCTCACCATACGGTCAGAAAAGAGGGCTATGTCATCTCCACATTCTTTCCATGAAAAAAAAAAAAAAAAAGCTCATATCTGAGATATTTAATGCTCTGAGTGCTGACATAAACTCCTGGGGTGAGTTTCTTCAGATCATGTATCAGTGTTTCTTCAGCTTTTATAAAGTGTGTTATATAAAAGCCTAATTAAAATCACTGGAAACTGACTTCATACATGCACTAAACATCACTGCAACACCAGCTAATTCACAGACTTTGAGCAACAGTGAGGTTTGCAGAAAATTCTTGCTCTGAACTGAACTGAAGCTCAATGCAGTGCTGAAATTTATGCACAATGTTCTTGTTTGGCAAAACACTGGAACATTGATTTAAGCATTTATGAAAACTGTTTCAAAGAAGATTGCATAGTCTGCTGATACAGTTTATCAAATTCATGTTGACAGTTGCATAACGAGGATCTGGCATGATATATAGGCTATAATGCAAACATGAGACTCACTGCCAGATTGACAGAAAGAGAAAGAATTTGAGAGAAAGACTGTACAACAAAGTGTTTTGAGTCTCTTATTAGGGAAAATGACGAAAGAGATCTCAAATAAAAATAAATAAATAAAAGCTTGCGCAGATAAATGAGAATAATTTAATCAGACTTTTAAAAAAATGTAAAAAATTAAAAATAAAACAATAAAAAAATTAAAGAATTAAAAAAAATATTACATTGAAAAAAGTTTTAAAAGATAAATACAATTTAAATTTAAAATAAAAATACAAAATAAATCAACTTGATTATGGTTTCAGTGTGTATGTTTAAAGACTAAAATGCCACAAGATGCCACATATTCTTTGCAAAAATCCCAAAGGAATTCTAACAGGAGAAATAAGATCATACTGGAACACCTGTAATTCTGAAGAATAATAGCATTACTTTAGGATGATTTGACAAATTATATCAAAATAAACTTCTGAAATCAGAGTTATAATGTCTAAAGTGTTTTTTTTTTACTTAGCAATAAAAGAATATAAACAAATATAGAAACAGATACAGACATAAACAAATACAATAAGGCTATAATCATTTAAACCAAAAATAGACAATAATGAATGAATTAATTAATATAAAATTAATTAAATAAGACATTTGTGTAATGGAAATATATATAAAGCCATCCTTTTTAAAATATTTTTTATAATAAATCACCAAAAAAAAAAAAACATGATATACGTTTACAATATCCAATCTAATTTATCACACTTTTACTGAGTGAATCCAGAAGCTTCTGCATAACTATTTTAGCGTTTAGCATCACAATGTTTAAATCTTCAGGCTGAACACAAAGGCTAAAGCAACTCATTCATGCATATGCAGTTGTTTACGTCACGCTTGTGATTGACAGATGTATGAATGTAAATCTCGCTCCTTTGATTTGCTGAAGTGCCCCCGATAACCACGCCCCCCGCGCACTTTCAACCAATCGCTGAAGAGCACGGAAAAAGCACGCATTGTTCAGTATAAATGCATTGAGCAGCAGCAGGTTCACAGATAAATAAAACTCGGAGCCTCCGTGGGCTGGTTATACTGGGATCATTAGCTTACAACTATTTATTTATACTGTACCCTACAATTAAAATTATTTATTTATTCTGTACTATGGGAACAGAAGGTTTCTGGCTGCTGGTTATCGGATTTTCTCTTATTGCGAGCGAACCAATCTCCAACTCCACTGAAGTGTTTGCTAGTAAGTTTTTGACCATCAAAATGATGTAGATGCTACTATTAAAATGTGTATTTCTGTTTAATCTTCCATTTACATTTGTTTATTTGTAATATATATATATATATGGAAAAAACAAATAAATAAAATTAAAATTAAATAAAAAAATATAAATAAATAAAATGAGTAAAACCTAAATTAAAGATAATGAAGTCTATTATTAATTTATTTATTTAGCAATGTACAATTATTAAGGGAATTAAGCTCGGGGTTACTAAAATTATTGAAAAAAATATTTTGTTAACTGAAATAAAACTGAAATAAAATGTAAATATTAGAATGAATCAATAAGTTAAAGCACTAAAATTGCAAACTGTAAATATGTGTCTCTGTGTTTGTTTTGCAATAAGAATGCATTGCAATCAACTGTATTTAGATAAACAAATACATGCATATGTGGAATTGACTAGGGCACAGGTCCAGGATCAGTGTAGTTGCATTTTTATATGATCCACTTAATTGCATATACACTGACTCTGGATCAGCAAGTCCAGTTCAGTTTTATTTCATTTCCACAATACGCAGTGTTTCAAAGCAGCTTTACAGAGAATAATGGCTTACAAGCCAAAGTGGTGAGCAAAGTGGATGAGGAAATATCTTGTGAAGAACCCTTGCTCCTCCGGATTTCACATATATAATGACTACAATACAGGCCAAAATAAACTACAGAACGTTATTAAATAGATGCACATGCTAAAGTGATTGATGATATTAACAGGTGCTGTTTGTTTCAGGAAACTCCACTGAGCTGACAGTGGACTACAGTGACATCGAGTCCAAGTTCTCCATCAGAAACCCAGAATTCCCTGACGAGGATCTTTGCTATCTCGTCCCGGGACAACGGGACTCTATTTTGGACTGCAACTTCAAAAATGATTCCCAAACCTTCCTCATTATCCACGGATGGTCGGTGAGTTCACACATGCAGTTTGTCTGTTTTCAAACAACGCTCTAGAGTTAATGTCCTTCCCTTATTTTCCCCTATATGAACTGCATGTGTTTATGTAACTGGTACTTCATTTATTTTGCTATATTACTGTAGTATAATAAATAACGGTGGTGTCACCTGTAGGTCGCGGGTCTGTTTGAGAGCTGGGTCTATAAGCTGGTGTCGGCTCTGTTTGAACGTGAACCCAGTGCCAATGTCATTGTGGTGGACTGGCTGGATCGGGCCAGCAAACACTACCCCAAATCAGCAGAAAACACCGGACTGGTGGGGGCAGACGTGGCCAAGTTTGTCAACTGGCTGGAGGTACTATGTGCAGAGAAACACATTGTTAGCATTGTTCATTTTATTGCTGGAGCATTTTTGTAATGACAGTCGACCGAATGTTACCCCACATCACTACCGTGACAAAAAACATGCCTAGGTCACGACTTGTATCTCTACAGCTTCTTCAAAAAATGAGCAAAAAATAAAATAATTAATTGCTGATAATGAAGTTTATTCATTTATTTATTTATTAAATTATTATGGAAATTAAGCCCAGGGTTATTATTAACCAAAACTAAAACACTGAAATAAAATATAAATATTACATGAAACTAAATGTTAGAACTAAAATAAGCTGAAATAAGAAATAGAGTTGAAGCACTAAAATTACAAATTGGAAATGAATACAACTAAAACTGAACTAAAACAGAAACAAAAAAAATAGTATTATTTAAATACAATCTAAAACTAATAAAAATGGAAAAAGCACATAAGACAATGACTTAAACTAAAACGATTAAAAACATTAATTGAGAAAAGCTGAAATAAAATATATATTTTCGATGAAAAACAAAGCGAAAATTAGAAATAATAGAAATGTTACCTTGGCACTAAAATTATACCTGGAAATAAATTAAAACTAAAACAAAGCACATCAAAATACTAAAAATTTAATTTAAATTAAAACTGAAAATATAAAATCAAAGCTCATTCAAAATGTAAATAAAAACTTTAAGTATATAAAGTATTTAAGCATATAAATAATCATATGTAAGTATATAAAAAATACAAAAATAACACTGATCCATCTCAATTATCAGCAATACAGAAGATATTAATAGTCTAATTTCTCATTTATAAAGAATACATATAAAGAGTGAAATATAAAGCAGACATGTTCTTGCAGGCTTTATCGGTCTCATTCAGTTATTTGTTTGTGTTGTTGTGAAGGAGATGGACTATCCTCTGGAAAAAGTGCATCTGTTAGGCTACAGTCTCGGTGCACATGTGGCCGGTGTCGCAGGAAACCTCACCAACAACAAGGTCAACAGAATCACAGGTGTGAAGACCTTCATATGCTGCTCTACTCAAACGCTTCATTTCTGTCCCAGAAGAAACTTTGCCAGATGTTTGTTAGTCCAAAAATTCCTCCGTAGAATCTCAACAGACACAAGTGAGTTACACAGTAAGAGTTCAGAGCTATAAAATGCCATTTTCTCGTGCTTTTCAGGTCTGGACCCCGCGGGCCCCAGCTTTGAGAATGCTGACCATCTGAGGCGTCTGTCACCCGATGATGCCACCTTTGTGGACGTCCTGCACACAAACACCAGAGGCTCGCCGAACCTCAGCATCGGCATCCATTACTGCATTCTAGTATTATTGTTATACTGTTATAGTATTTAGTAATATTTAGAATTTATTATTTATTTTCAGTTTCAATTTTTTTTGTTTAGTGTTAATTGATTTCAGTTTCAGTTATTTTAGTACTTATTTTAGCTATTGATTTTAATACTTATTTAGTTATTATTTTTAATCAATTTTTAAAAACCTTTTGTCATTTTTATTAGTTTTTAATAAATTTTTATTTATTTTATTTTTATTTTTGTTTTAATGTAATACTTTTTCAACTAATATATATATATATATATATATATAATTTCATCTTTATTTCAATTACCAAAATTATTTTTTATAGTTTTAGTTAACAATAACAATGCTGTTAAAAGTAAAATGCTACATCTATTAAAATAAATTGTGTGCTTTTGTAATTTTTTTGTAATATCATTACTTTATATATTTCTGTTTTGCTTTAATTTTATAATAGTTTCAGTGTTAGTAATTTAATTAACTCAACTTAAATTTATTTCAGTTAGTTGCCAAGGCAACATTTCACATTTTAAATATTTAAATATTTTAAATATTTAATTTCAGCTTTACCAAAACTGATTTTAATAGTTATAATTCACAATAACAGCACTAATAGTAAAATGCAATTTTGTTATGTGCTTTTGTCATTTGAATTCGTTTTTGTTGTTAATATTTAGCTTTAATATTTATTTCCGCTTTAGTAAATTTAGTATTTCAACATGAAAACTCTCGGAGGGATTGGCATGGTAATGTACATGATAATGTTAATGTATTTGGTCTTGGCGGAATAGATCTGCTACGATGCTGCTGCTGCAGCAGGGCAAGTACTGAGACTTGCTGCCAATACATCCACAACATGCTGCTGTAAGCATGTAAGAAATACTGCTGCTGCACATATAACACATATGAATAACCCCCATATAGCATACATGAATCACCCTGTAGCAGATCTATACAGGTGGAGCTGGGGAAGGTGGAGGGTTTCTGAAGTGCGCTGCAAACTGCTACAGCAAACAAAAGCCAGGTATTTGAATATTGAGCAGTAAGCTCATTGGCTACCGATACAGCAGAGAACCAATCAGCTGCCATGTGACAATGATGTCGCCATGTCAGATTGCACTAGACCTATCGGACTGCGCCATCTAGAGTCTCATGCCAGAACTCTGTATTTATATCGTTTGTAAAAGCGTAGGACCATAAAATGTTCGTCCAATCATATCCCTCGGTCCAAGGGCTTCGATAGGCTGTCCGACCTGCTTGTCAACGTATGTATTTGCAAACCTCCGTGCACACTGTTTGTGCAGACATGATACAACATCAGCACTTTCCATTACACTATTGCAGACCTGAGTGAGATTGGAAGGCATTGTATTTCAGTATAGTTGCCAAGGCAACATATGCATGTTTTTTAAGTTAAAGCTTTTCATCTAATATTTATATTTCAGCATTGTTTCAATTACTGAAGATGATTTTTATTAACTGTTATTATCTATTATCAATTAAAATCAATTCCTAAGTAAGACAGTAAGTCATAAACCTTCAGCCTGTGTTTTTGTCCCTTTGACCTCTGTCAGACATGGACCAGATCGTCAAATGCTCGCACGAGCGCTCCATTCACCTGTTCATCGACTCACTGGTGAACCGGGCGTACCAGAGCTGGGCGTATCGCTGCAGCTCCAGAGACGCCTTCAACAAGGGCCTGTGTCTGAGCTGCCGCAAGAACCGCTGCAACAAACTCGGCTACGGCGTCAACAAGATCCGCAGTGCCAGGAGCGCCAAGATGTACCTCAAGACCCGCGACATGATGCCGTTTAAGGGTGAGAACGCCCAGAACGCTCAGAAAATGTACTACAAATCTACATCTAGTTTGTACTTTTGTGAGTTTTCATATTCGTCTCTCTCGTTCTCTCGCAGTGTTTCATTACCAGATTAAGCTGCATCTGTTCAGCGACAAAAACATGACTTTGCTGGAGCAGCCGATGAAAGTGTCTCTGTTCGGCACGGCCGATGAGAGGGACGACATCGCTGTCACTGTGTGAGTCCCCTTATTTTAACCCTGGACTGATGTTTTTATTTAAGATTTTCAGTTTTTTAAGGAATTGTATGGTACTCAATTATATTTATGGAATAGTTATAAACCACTCTTTGAGTGTAGACCTGAAAATGAAATTTCTAACTTGCTGTAAATTTAGAATGCTTTGTGACACAGACATAAGTTTAAAGAAAGAACAAAATAGTTACTAGAAGTTTAAGGTTATTATTATGAAAATGAATTTTTTTATATTTTTTTTTATTTTATATGAAATATACATTTTGCAAAACGTGTTATACTCTAAAACTGCATTTGGTTCCAAATTCAATGCTGATATTTTTTAAATGTTTTTTAAACAAGTCTCTTCTGCTCACCAAGGCTGCATTTATTTGATTAAAAATACAGTAAAAACCTGTAATATTGTGAAATATTTTTACTATTTAAAACAACTGTTTACAATGTCAATATATTGTGAAATGCAATTTATTTCTGTGATCAAATCTGAATTTTCAGCATCATTACTCCAGTCTTCAGTGTCACATGATCCTTCAGAAATCATTCTAATATGTTGATTTGCTTCACAAGAAAAGGGTTAAACCGTTTAAAAAAAAAAAAATTGGACTAATTCAGTGGCCCTAAAAAGACACTTACATCACACTTCAAAATTTCTGAATATTATTAGATACAAAATACCACAGCAGTTTTAAATAAAGTTACATGACAGGGGGGGGACGATAAATCATAAAATATGTCTTATGTTTTGGATGCAGGCCCAGCATGAGCACCAACAGCACCATCTCGTTCCTGCTGACATCTGACAAAGACATCGGCGAGCTGCTGATGCTGAGCTTACACTGGGAGAAAGAGTCCTATCTCTACGGCTTCTTCAGCACCAATCAGTTCATGATCCGCAAAATGAGGATCAAATCTGGAGAAACACAGTCCAGGTGAGTCATTTCAGATCATAGAGCCATTACTGCAGCTCCATAGCTGCTATTAGCGAATTAAAGTCATAACTGCATAAATGCACATATACAGTTTGGGGTCAGTTTATTCAGCAAGGATGCATGAAATGATCAAAAGTGACAGTAAAGATGGTTATTATGTTACAAAAGACTTCTATTTCAAATAAATGCTGTTCTTTTGAACTTTCTATTCATCTGTGAATCCTGAAAAATAAAATTGATCACAGTTTTGCAAAAATATTGGGCAGCACAAGTGTTTTCAACATTGAAAATAATTAGAAATGTTTCTTGAGCAGCATATTATGATTTCTGAAGGATCATGTGGCACTGAAGACTTGAGTAATGATGCTGAAAATTCAGCTGCACATCACAGAAATAAATTATATTTTAACATATTTTCACATAGAAAACAGCTATTTTAAATTGTAATAATATTTCACAATTTTACAGATTGTACTGTATTTTTTTTGCTGAAATAAATGCAGCTTTGACGAGCAGAAGAGACTCTATAAAAAACATTAAGAAATCTTACTGTCCCCAAACTTTTGAATAGTAGTGTATTTTACACAAATTATTTATGTTGCACAACATTTAAGTTGAACTGAGCCATAACCGAAAATGTTTAATATCTCATTTAATATGTTTGAAGTGAATATCCTGATATATAGGATTTTACTATTGTATTATCACCACCATTTATGAATAAATGGTTATATTTCACAGTATTACTGATTTTACAGTATTTTGAATCAAATAAATGCTGCCTTGGTGTGCAGAAGAGACTTCTTTTAAAAACATTAAAAAGTTGCACTGTAAAAACATCAGACTGTACAACATACGGATTACTATAGTGAAAATAACACCAAAATGATTCATGTAAAATAAACATTTTCTTTTCTTTTGAAGGGTAATGTTCAGACCCAAAGATGGAGAATTTGGTTCACTGGTTCAGGGTGGAGACGCTGTTGTGTTTGTGAAGTCCAGCGAGACGCCGCAGAGCAGGAGAGAGCAGAGGTGACGACGGCTTCACTTTCACTGACTGTTAAGTCCAATATGAGGTCGTTTTCATATTCATATATTTCATATACAAAGCTCTCTCTTTCTGTTTCTGGATTTTCAGGCAGCACAGACTGAAACATCACGGGAGCTTCTTCAAACAGAGCATCAACGAAGCAACCGCAGACATGAGTAAATATAATCAATCAACAGAGATCATGACAGAAACCACCGCGCAGGTCAACACTACAAACGCTTTGTGATTTTATTAATGCCATCTGCACCAGATATACTGTATCTGAACATTTTCATTCGATGTGAAGTTGGGCTTGTGAATTTCACAGACTTCCAGGCAGTGTTGGGGAAAGTTACTTTTAAAAGTAATGCATTACAATATTGCGTCTCTCCATAAAAAAAGTAACTAATTACGTTACTTAGTTACTTTTTATGGAAAGTAATGTGTTACGTTACTTTTGCGTTACTTTTTAAATCTGGACAGGGCTTGCTTGTTTGTTTTTAAATTTAAAAAGTTATATTTTTGGCAAATATAAAAGCCGTTTCACACCAAAAGTGAAATGAATAAGCCTCAGGCTGAAGGGAACATGGGGACAGGAGAGCTGTCAGTCAATAAATTGGAAAAAAAAAATAGTTACTTGCGTTACTTATTTGAAAAAGTTACTCAGATATTCTCTTATAAATTAAAAAGTAATGCGTTACTTTACTAGTTACTTGGAAAAAAAGTAATTTGATTACGTAACTTGCGTTGCTTGTAATTCGTTACCCCCAACAATGCTTTACATTTGCATCCAAAATCAAAAGAAAAGAACAAAAACTATATACATATAAAGAAAATCTTGTATATAAAACACCAAATTCTCATGAATGTAATGCATTCAGACATTTTACTTTACCCTCAATGATGATTCACATTACTGTTATACAGTCATTTTCAAAATAGAGATAAAATAATGACAATTAAGTATAAAAATGCTCCTAAAAAATCCCTATGTTACAAAAAAAAAGGCTTCAGTGCAACATATCATTTCTTATTTCTTTCTTTTGATTTTGGGATGAAATTTGATTTTGTGAGATTCACTCAAACATACATAAAATGTATTTTTTCCCTTGTAGATTTATTGTGTGTGTGTAAAAAAAAAAAGAATTAATCCAACTTGATGGATTTGGTAGTTTATAGTTCAGAATAGATTTTTTTTAAATAACACATACTGTAAACAAGTCAAGATGAAAATGACTAAAATACAAAGTGTGTACAGTATATATGATTATAGTGGTTTATGCACATTCAGTAGCTGTAGATTAACAATATTAACTGTGATCTGAAACTAAACTACAGCTACCTCAGTTTGACGAAACAAAATGAAGTCAATACAATTTAACATTCCAATCAAAACAATTAAAATTGCCGATTAATATATTTTCACATCAACAAATCAATGCAATGTTTTGTTGTTGTTGCTGTACTTCAAGTGAATACTTCAAGTGTACTGTATATTTTTCTTTTATGTTTTTAGTGGATGTACAGTGTGAGTGTGAACAGTCAGTTAGTCCAGAGTTATTATTTTTTTAACCTGGGACATTATTCACAAACTTTCAAGGAAAATGTTATGATATTTTTATCATGCACAAATTGAATTGAAATGCCTGGCAATTTGAATCTGTCATCATCCATAGTGACACATACTGTAAGTCCATATTTTTTCATTTGACTCATAACAAATGACTTGCTGAAAGCATCTTGTGTATTTATGCTCTATGACGTCTGAAGTGTATATAGGGTTTGTTTATTATAATCACTACATATGTAAATGTATCTGATTAAATTTATATTACTCTAGAGCTCATTTTTATCATTTAATAATCATTTTAGAACTAGAAATAATCATTCTCAACGACCAGCACATAAAATTCTTTATACAATAAAATTGAGTTTTGTACACACACAAAAAAAACTTTATTTGCCTTTTTTTTTAAATATTGTTTTTAAAAGTAAGGATGTGCCCAAAAGGAGGTTTTTAGCACTTCTTGGTACAAATTTGTCCCAAAAATATAGTTAAGTAGGTATACACACACACACACACACACTGCACTCATTGTGAACTTTCCCCTATTTTCTCAGTAAACTCATCTGAAGAGCAGATTTGTCTGCATTTGAGTTCATTTCGATCATCGGCATGTTTAATATTTGGCACATGCATTTGGACATCATGGAAAGGTTTATTTTAGTTCCTGTTTTCTTAGAAGATCGTGTGTGTGTGTGTGTGTTTGCACACAGAGGGCTAAAATATTCAAGGTAACACACAGCCATCATATCTGAACACACATACTGTACAGCGTCAAACATCAAATACAGCAGATTTTACTAATGCACCTGCTTGGGAATTAAAACATAAGTGACAACAGAATCATTTCTCTCGCCTGTCTGCAGAAAACATCTACTGTGCTCAGATTTACCCACATACATACAACAGGCTGCGATCAGAGATCTCCATATGAATGCAAACATTTCAATTTAATGATCTCAGCTGCTCTCCACATTCATTCTTTTCATTGTTTTAAATGAGAATCACCTGAAAGAAACGTGAATATTTTGCTCATTTCTCTAATCAGATATAAACTGTCAGTTGTATCTGTTGGATTTTTGCCAGAAGTCATTCAGCTTTTTTCATTATGTTATCAAAAGTGTTCGTCTTTTCAGCTGCATGTGACCGGAGGTACAAGCAGAACGTGTTTGTTTGGCACTTGCTGATGTTTTACCTGCTTTAGTGTTGAAATGTGAGCACTGCTGTGAACACAACCGTCTGAAACAACATGAACCTGAACTATAGAGAACGAAGTGCTGTTTACTGTCGCACACGATCTACTCCATGCCTTCTGTCGTCTAGTTTAATAGTTTAAAGATTTTTGTCAAGTAAAAGTTCTTTCAGTGTAATCGTACAAGCCTCCTCCTTCAGCTGCTGCTTCACGTGTCTTTTTGCTGTCAAATCTTTAAGCAAACGTAAGAATAACTAGTAATATTTCCAGATGAACACTTACTGGACTGAAGCTGAAGCAGCTTCGCTTTACTTGATTTTTCCATAAAATCATGTTCAAATGTGAGTCTCAAATATGATCATCATGCTTTTGAGGAACGTTTATTTGTTCATCTCTCAGTCATCATTGGATTGCATTGCATTACTGTGCTATACAATCTCATTAATTTACATTACAAGCTTCAGAATTTCATCACTTTTTCGTCCATATGAATATCAGCATCTGCACCAAATTGTATATTTTTGCTCAGTTTGGGTCAGTTTTTTCATCCATATTTAGACTATATGAGCCATAAAAGCCTGGGCCCGTATTCCCAAAACATCTTAAGGCTAAAAGTAGCTCATAACTTGCCGATTTAGGAGAAAATCTTAAAAATAATGGGTGTGTCTTTTCTTGGGGGGTTTTGGAGGTTATCCCAACTCCAAATTTTCCTTTGATTATATCCTTGTTTTCATTAACCAATTGGGTAAGAAGTAACAGCTGGTCTTGTGTCTAGTTTTTTTTAACGTTTGCATGTCTTACTATCAGCCATAATTATTCTACTCTGTTAATTAAAAGGCTGTTTATGTGCATATCCACTACTTGTTTAAGAGAAGCACACATGTAAGAGGCTGACAATTAACTGAACATGTAGCTACTTGTTTAATTAGTCACACTTAGCCAGCATTTTAAAATTTTTATTTGAATGTAGCAATTAACATTTTTATTTTTAAACCTTTATTTGAATATGGCAACATAATATAGCGCTCTACAATATTTCTATGAATAAATCTCTGAAAGAGACTATCAGCCAATCACTGTGTGCATAGTTAATAAGCATGCTGACATCATCCATAGCAACGAGGTCAACCCCGCCCCCTTTACTCTTAGCTTAAGACTTCTCTCTATTCTTTAGTAAAGTTGGTCTCAGCAGCTTTGTGCATAGGTTTTAAGAGAAAACTCTTGGCTAAAGTTTTTTACTGCTATTTAGGAGAACTCTTAGTGGCAAGATAAAAAGTTTTGTAAATACGGGCCCTGATGGATCAAATATGATGCTAAACACACACACACACACACATATACACACACACATACACATATGAAGAGTTCATAAGCAAAAGCTCTAAGTGCCATCTGAAATTTTCTTCTAAAATGAATGAGCATTTTTCTCGGGCTCTCATGTGTAGGTTCAGTAATTTCACTTTAATGGCAATATATATATAGAGAGAGAGTATATGTCAGGTTTTACAGGGTGTGTGTAACTTGAGCTCATGTCAGGTGATTGTGACCGGCACACTTTCACAAAACATGTGCAAGAAGGATCACACTAATGCAAGATGATATTTCAAATATGTGTCTAATTATAGAGCAAAGACCTTTCACAAGATGCAGCTTAAGTCCACGACTCATAAATCATCAGCGGATCCTTTCCAAAACCTACTGAGCTGCCATAAAATCAACCTCTCGTTCACAATGAAGGACTTCTTCCCTGCACAGAATACACAGAGCAACTAAACAAGAGTTCATCTAGACCTGCAGTTACAACACAACACACGATTAAACGGAAACAACTGCTTACCTCAGTTCATCACCACCCATCTTCACATTTATCTCCACTTTATTCATAATTTACGTAGTCCAGGAGGTTATTTGTTCGGGCCTACAGCAATCTTAATGTGTTTACCTTTATCCAAATATTTATTTTTATTCAAATATATCAACATGTGAAATCATTAAGTTATGTATAATTTGATTAATTGTTTTTTACTGATTATATTCAAAAGGCATGAAAATATATTTAAAATCAACACAAACTTTGCTTCAACTCTCTCATCCATCCTGGATCACAGTGCATTCTGGGATCGCCTTAAATATATAAAGGATACACAAATGTTCAGTTTTATATAAAATATATGGTAAAAAAAAAAGATATATATATATATTCTAATGAACTGAATTAAAATATTGATATAATAAAATGTTTTAGAATGTAAAATATTTGAAATATTTTTGAAATACTTTTAAATATTTATTTTTAAAAATAGTTTAATATTGTAATATAAATCATTGAAAGATCTGAAAAATAAAAATATTTAACATGAGTGTAAAAAAGTCTCAAAGCTCACATACATTTTAAGTGATTTAAATGTGGGTTTAAACTGTCCAATTCAATCCAATTCAATAACAAATTATTGAGAAGTAACTACACAAGATGTAATTGTGATTTTTAATGACCCATATAATATAATATAATATAATATAATATAATATAGTATGAATAATAATTAATAAAATAATATTTTTAATACAGAAAATGAATATCGTATGTATGTATGTTCAATGATTTGCTGTCTGTCTGTCTGTCTGTCTGTCAGAGTTC